AACCTAACCTAACCTACCTTTTTGTTTACTATATTATTCTGAGGCCATAATTTCTACTGTAAGAGTCGCAATACAAAACCTAACCTAACCTACCTTTTTGTTTACTATATTATTCTGAGGCCATAATTTCTACTGTAAGAGTCGCAATACAAAACCTAACCTAACCTACCTTTTTGTTTACTATATTATTCTGAGGCCATAATTTCTACTGTAAGAGTCTCAATACAAAACCTAACCTAACCTACCTTTTTGTTTACTATATTATTCTGAGGCCATAATTTCTACTGTAAGAGTCGCAATACAAAACCTAACCTAACCCACCTTTTTGTTTACTATATTATTCTGAGGCCATAATTTCTACTGTAAGAATCGCAATACAAAACCTAACCTAACCTACCTTTCTATATACCATTTCGACTTTTTATTTTTTTTTATTTTGGTTTAGCTACCCGGGTGACAAAACCATTTCGTCCATACATTGTCAACTTCTTCTAATAGTTTACTATGAAAACCGTTGTAACAACTTACATCGGTTTTCATAGTAAAGTTTTCCAAATAATTTTGATAAAAGCCTTAGTTATTATTTATCGTAGGTAAAGGACCTATGATAAATAATAACCACTCAACACTCTTTTAATTAAAATATCATAAATATTAAAATCGGGGAAAGTTTTTAGCGCTGGCAATACTGAGATTCAATGCCATCCCATAAAAGAGGACTCGCTGCATGGTAACCATGTACCAAAATAAAATATCTTCCAAATTTTGTTCAAAGTCAACCTCGGCGGCCATCTTAGATTTTTCCATTTTGATACTTCTGACATATATTACATGACGACAGATATATTTCATCCATATATTGTACAGAGACACGGTCCTTTTAGTGGGTCCTTAGTAAATATTACTTTCTACGAAAATCTATGCTTGGTGTTGCCACCTAATTTTACAAAAAATTGCATAAAACTATTAAGATGAGATTTATTATAGATCCCCGTCACTTTTATGTTTAAAAATGTCGAAAAATAATTTCCCGCATTTAAGGTTTGCAAAGTTACCCAAAAATCGGGGAAAAATTGTAGCCTACATAATACTTCACGTCTTTGCTCCATAGAAGTAACTTGCTGTAAGGAATAAAATAGTACCCCAAAAATGAGTTTTAAAACGTCCCTAAACTTATCATCGGAAATAAAGTACCCTAACTCGGCCGCCATCTTGAATGATTCCATTTTAAATAGTTTTAATATATACACCTTGGTGAGAAACATTTCGTCCATACATTGTACAGAGCCAAGGTAACTCTTTCTAGTAGTTCCTAAGTACTGTTTACAATGGAAATCGATGTATGGTGTTGCCAGCTCATTTTGACAAAAACCACCTAAGACCCCTTGGGGATTATTTTTGACAGATCGTCATCATTGTTTGGTCTAAAATGATGAAAAAAAAATCCCACGTTTTTTTTTACTTCTCTCCGATATTACCCTAAAATCAGGGAAAATTTTTAGACCAGATAGTGCTTCGTATCGAGAGTTTCCACTGTTCCATAAAAGTCAACTCGCTGCAGTGACGATGGGTACCTAAACTGAATTTAGTAACAGAAACATTTCGTCCATACATTATGTAGAGCTTCGATGACTTCTTCTTGTACTATTCCCTAAGAAAACTAATCTAAGGTGTTACCAAATAATTCTGATAAAAATCACGTAAAACCCATAAGGGGATGATTTTTGACAGATATCCATCATTATTTTGTTTGACATATCGAAAAAAATTCCCACTTTTTTGGACTTGTCTTCTAAATTACCCTAAAATCGGGGAAAATTTTCATACCGTTTTTCCGTTTTCGTCCATATATTGTACAGAAACACGGTCCTTAGTCAAAATTCCCACATTATGGGTTTGCAAAATTACCCAAAAATTGGGGAATATTTGTAGCCTAGATAATATTTCGAACCGAAATCTACCATGACTCAATAAAGGTCGACTCGCTGCAGGGAAGCCAGGTACACCAAAATATATTCCTAAATTTATCATCAGAGATAAATTACTTGAACTCGGCCGTCATCTTGGATTTTTCCTTTTTGAATATTTTTAATTTATCCACTTTGGTGACAGAAACATTTTGTCCATACATTGTACAGAGCTAAGGTGACTCCTTCTAGTAGTTCCTTAGTACTGTTTACTATGAGAATTAGTTAATACTTCGCACCGAGAGTTTCCATTCCTCAGTACAAGTTAATTCGTTGCAGGGATGATAGGTGCCACAAAACTGAATTTTAAAAAGTTCTTAAAACTGTCATCATAGATAAAGTATCCTCACTCGGCCGCCATCTTGGATTTTTCCTATTTAAATACTTTTAACATATACACAGAGCCCAGGTTACATACACCTAGGAGTTCCTTAGTACGGTTTAGTATGAAAATCGATGTATGGTGTTGCCAGGAGATTTTGACAAAAACCACCTAGGACCCTTTGGGGGATGATTTTGGACCAACGCTCATAACTGTTTTGTTCAACTTAACGAAAAATAAAAATTTCCCACGTTTTTTTACTTTTCTTCGAAATTACCCCAAAATCGGGAAATTTTTTTAGACCAGGTAATATTTCCCACCGAGAGTTTCCATTGCTCTATAGAAGTCAACTCGCTACAAGGTTTAGTGGTACCTCAAAATTGAATTTTTAAAAGTCCCTAAAAATGTCAACATAAATTAAGTACCCCAACTCGGCCGCCATCTTAGACTTTTACTTTTTAATACTTTTGACATATTCACCCTAGTAACAGAAACATTTCGTTCATACATTGTACAGAGCCTCGGTGACTCCTAGTACTATTCTCTAAGAAAACTGATGTGAGGTGTTGCCAGATAATTCTGACAAAAACCACCTAAAATCAATAGGGGGATTGTTTTTGACAGATTTTCATCATTCTTTTGTTTGAAATATCCAAAAATTATTGTCCCACTTTTTAGGACTTATCTCAAAAATTACCCTAAAATTGGGGATTTTTTTTATAGCAGGTAATACTTTGTGTTGAGACACATCGTCTCTCCATAGAAGTCGACTGGCTGTGGGGTTGGCAAGTGTCCTAAAACTACATTTAAAAATATCCCAAATTTTCTCCGAAAAGCAAAACTCCCCTATCTCTGCCGCCATTTTGGATTTTTACTTCTTAATACTTTTGACGTATTCACCCTAGTAGCAGAAACATTTCGTCCATACATTATGTAGAGCTTCGGTGACTTCTTCTTGTACTATTCCCTAAGAAAACTGATCTGAGGTGTTGCCAGATAATTCTGACAAAAACCACCAAAAACCCTTAAGGGGATGACTTTTGACAGATTTTCATCATTCTTTTGTTTGAAATGTCGAAAAAAAATTTTCCCACTTTTTAGGACCTGTCTCAAATAATACCCCAAAATCAGGGAAAATTTTCATACCAGGTAATACTTTGTGTCAAGAGACATCATCTCTCCATAGAAGTCGACTCGCTGCGGGGTTGCCATGTGTCCTAAAACAACATTTAAAAATGTCCCAAATTTTCTCCGAAAAGCAAAACTCCCCTATCTGTGCCGCCATCTTGGATTTCTAAAATTTCATAATTTTCCCTAGATGCCGGGTCCTTCGGCTATCCGACTCCGCACAGTGCGTTGAGCTAGCACACTCGTAGGTACCCTATCAATTTCAGTTTTTGAAGCTAGACCTCAATTTCAAAATTTGTCCCATGATGTATGGGTGTTGCCAGCAAATTCTGACAAAATTCCCCTAAAACCCTTCAGGGGACGATTTTTGGTAGACCAACAAGACTTTTTCATTTAAAATGTCGAAAAAAATTTTTCCCACTTTATGGGACTTTTCTCCAAATTTAACCCAAAATCGGGGAAAATTTTTAGCCCTGGCAAATCTTCTTACTGAGACTTACCCATGTCAGTAGGTGGCGTTTAGCTACGGGGTTGCCATGTGCAGCAAAAACGCGATTGAAAATATCCCAAAATTTTTCCAAAAACTAAATCTCTCATAGCTTGGCCGCCATCTTGGATTTCTGAAATTTTATAATTTTCCCTAGAGGCCGGGTCTTTCAGCCTCCCAATGGCCTACAATAGGGATCGGTAGTATCCCCGCAAGTACCCTAGGAATTTCAGTTTTTGGAGAGACACCCCAATTTCTATTTTGGTCAAACCATGTATGGGTGTTGCCAGCAAATTCCAACAAAACCCACCTAAAACCCTTTAGGGGATGTTTCTCGATAGGCCTTGATGCCTCTTTTGTCAAATATGTCGAAAAAAATTTTTCCCACTTTTTGGACCATTTCTCCCAAATTACCCCAAATTCGGGAATTCTTTTTAGCGCTGGCAATACTTCTTACCGAGACCCATCATCGCCCCATAGAAGCCGACTCGCTGCGGGGTTGCCCTGTACCTAAAAAATGATTTTGAAAATAATCCGGATTTTTAGGACCAAATTCACACGCCCCCAACTCGTCGGCCATCTTGGATTTTCGAAATTTCATAATTTTCCCTAGAGGTCGGGTCCTTCGAGTTTCCTATGCCCTACAACCGGTGTCGCCAGCACCCCCGCAACTACCCTGGGAATTTCGGTTTTTGAAACCGTAGAAAATTTTCAACCAGTTTTTGGCAATTTTTTCGCCGCCATCTTGGATTTTAATTTTTTGTTTTTACGCCATATTCTGGGTCCCGCCGAGACGTGCCAAATCACTCTTTGAACGGAATCGATCCGAGCGAAACTGTAAAAGTTAGCCGCCATCTTTGTCCGCCATCTTGGATTTTCCCAAATTTCGGAATTTTCTCGTGGTCACCCTAGCCAAAGGAACATTTCCCCCATACATCGTCTCGACCCCCGGACGCTCCTTCTGGGAGAACAACTATGTCAATCAGTGAGTGAGTCACCGTAATGCAGCTTTATATATTATAGATAATATTACACGGGGTAATTTCATAGAGTGAAATTTAATTATAATTATTATTGTGTTATCTGTGCTTTACAGGTTCGCCTGGCTCTACACACCGCCAACCGTCTGGTTCGCGAGGACGGCCAAGTCGGCGTGATATCCGCATGTGCAGCCGGCGGACAAGGCGTCGCCATGCTGCTCGAGAGACACCCAGACGCCACACCCAACTAAATCTACAATCATAACATTTAGAAGCCAATCTCCTGTCTACCAACCCTAAAAATCGAATATTCCTTTCTTAAATTCTTTTTCTAAATAGTAAATTGGCGCGAATAACAACTTTTATACGACAGTTGTAAAATCTTAAAAAGGCCATGTATAACATTGGACGTAGAAACATTCTAGTAAAGGCAGATACACATTATTAGCGTTTCTAATCGTATTCTATTACATAAATATTTATTCTATTTCTGCCTGATTATTTGAGTTACTAATATTATTTATTTTGTCATGTTTAGATATAGTTTATCATCTATGTAGTCATTTTTATTTCATGTTGAGTATGACAATAAGAGTACGTAAAATTTCATAACTTTTTGACCTTGCGTTTGATAGTTGTTTGTTACACAAATAATTCTAAAATTTAATAAATTTCTATAAAAAATTGTGGATCATTTGGGCTCTTCTCGTGCTCTCGTATATTGTTATTACATAAATTAGTATCTCTAATGTATTAGAAGTCTAAATGTATTAGAGAAATTAGTATATGGATCATTAAATTGTATACAAAGATCTGCTATCATCAAAACAAATCACGTTTAATTAATATAGAGATGAAAAGTGTTCTATCCGAGTCGAGAAAATACATTTCCCCAACGTAAAATTGTAAAAAAATTAGACAAAGTTGGTGCTAACTACTGTTTTTTATAAAATTTGTATACTCTTAACATTTTAGATACTGGCGTAATATATTCATGTTGCACATAATTCAATTATTGAATTTTATCAAGGTTTTTATTTAGTCTCAATATAATTTCTTTTTTAGTTAATGTAGCGACTAAAGTGTAAGGACAATATTTCGAATCAGTTTGTGTAGTAAGTAATACTTCGAAATAATGTTAAATGCTAAGCGTATTATTGCTCGTTTTGTAATGGTTCTGTTTACAAATATAAAATATATTATTTAATGTCATTTTTACTAACCCGACTTAAGTTATATATAACCGTTTGGACATTTCAAAGACTTGAAAAATAAAACAGAAATCTTTCAAGGCAACCATTTATTACAAGTCGCCTACTTACCAGCAAATTGTCTTTATTCTACATAATTATACTATAGGGACGAATCCGGAAAGGGCGCATTCGTCATACGACGTCCATTTATCTGCAATTTTTACATAAAAACACGCCCTTTCAGGGGCGTCCCTTATTATCTGCTACAATAAAAATACAATATAATCTGAAAGAGATTATAAACAATAGACCTTTTATGTCTAATATAAATCATATTAAAATAATGCTTCGCTTGCAAACACCAAGTCATGGATCCACTGAAATAATTTTGATATTAATTTCTGTGTGAACTGTATATATAAGTAACACCCGAAAAATATGTATCTAAAAATGAAGACTGCTACAAATAGAAAACCGCATCATAATCGGTCCATTGGTTTAAGAGCTACAAATAGAGATGCACAGACACGACAAACATAACAGCATCATTTTTGCATCGGAAGTTAAAAATTATAAGTGATCGATTGTACTTTAAAATATATGAAAATCATAATATAAACCAAAACAATTACTCGAATTTTGTCTGCGGTTTTCACTAATATGTTTGTGGTAAACTTGATTTAAAATTTGTAGGCTCAGTAATTTCCTAATCTATGAAAACCAATCAACTCGACTGAACAATAAAAGTCATAGTAAAAATATCAAGTGCCTACTTTTACTTACAAAAAATATCACCAAACATTACACATTATATTTATTTTGATTTTAAAATAAAATACATATATTAATAAACAATAATATACCTGCACCTATATAAACTCTATATCATCATAATTTCTGTTATAATATATTCTGAACAATTTATATAAAATCTAGTGTAAAATTCAAATAAATATTGTTAACGGCATATACTGATATGGTCACAGTCGGACGGGGCCTGAAGGACCCAGGTGGCACCCCATAAGCTTAGAGCCCGATACTAGATAGGATACTATCTTTGTGCTTGCTTTTGTCTTCCCAGGTACTTCGACAGCATATACCGTTAGCGCCGGCGAGAAACGTTCTAATATTACCCATTTTAAAAAAAGCCAACTCGACTATATCAACAATTCGACTTACGAACACACTATATATATATATATATATATATGTACCTTTTTTTATGAAAGTTAAATTGAAATGCATATATGACAGACAGTATGTGTTTTTGTAAATATCTACAAATTGAGTACAAGCTACGACTTCGATTTCCACTATTTGAACACAGTATTTTAGTACCCACAATGTAAAAGAATATTTGCCTAATCTAGTACAACTGTATTGTATAAAGAGTCAAGCATAGTTTATAAGGGTCAATAATAAGGTCCATACAAAACTTAAAAAAAAAAGATTAATTATAGATTCATCACGTGACCGTGCAGTTTGTACTAGTTTTAAAACATTTTCAAATTTCCTGTTTACTTTGGGACCGTGATTTAGTTTCATTTTTTAACACCACAGTGGATCTAAACAACCCTATTGAATGGCCATACAGCTGTAATATTTATGTATATATATATACCTGAAACTCAGCTCTTATTCTTTTCTTTTATATATATGAAAGCCAAGAATAAAAGCAGAGTTCCTTATCAGTTCTTAGCTCGAAAGCACTTCTAACGATAGATTTGACATATAATAAATCTGTAATAGACATACTTGAATAAAGATATTTTGATTCCATTTGATTTGACACACATAATACAAAGGTATCTTGATCGGATAAAACATACAAACCGTTTTACACATACAAAAGTAGGCACTGTTAACTAATATAGCCATGCACCAAAATTATGATAATCAGTGATTAAATCAATCATTTTAATACAATAATTTATTACATTCAGTGTACCACCATTGTCACCGTCCGAAGTACCTATCAGATCGACCGCAAGTTAGTTACAGTACAGTCAGCTTCATATAACATTAGTGACAGTGTTAGCAAAAATTAAGGAAAAACAAGTAAAAAAAAAAATAAACAGATAATATTCAATTATGCATACTAATTTCACAAATTATACCAAAAAATTATACAAATATATAAGCACATAAAATATATATCATTAACGGCCTCGGTGGTCTAGTGGTTTAGCACACCACCTTAGTTTCAATAGTCGCGGGTTCGATTCCTCGCACGGTTTAAACATTTGTATTCATGAGTATGATTGCATCGGTCTGGGTGTTTTCTATGTATAATATGTATGTATTTACAAAAAAACTAAGTATTTTTATCAATTGTCTAATACCCATAACACAAGCTCTGCTTACCGTGGGACTAGATGGCGCTGTGTTAATTGTACAAAATTATTTATAAATATAATAAAATAAAAATGATCAACAAAATGATGATCAATCCAGTCACTTATTCATGTTTTAATGAGACTGACTGTTAACTGAACTTGCGCAGAGCAACCTACAAAATTATTTAAGAAAATATATACTCAACGTCCGCTACTATAGCTCTATACACGGTGCCTCTCCATAATATGACATTGTACTCAGCATCATATGACCGCACCTCCGTTCGAATAAAATCACAATTAAAATAAACAAATTAGCTAGAAAAAGACGTTTCAAAATTTACGGTATACCAGTTCTAGTCCGTGAAAGAAAGCATCATTATCTTTTTTTATAGCACAGGAGACATACGAGCGGACGGCTCACCTGATGATAAGTGATTACCGCGGCTCATGAGCACCCGCAACATCAGGGGAATTGCAAGTGCGTTGTCGGCCTTTTAAAAAGGAATACGCTCTTTTCTTGTAGGTTTCAATATGGAATCGGTTTGGAAATACCACTGTTGGAAGGTGATTCTTGTGTGGTTGTGCGTGGCGAAAAGATCTGATAAAGACGGATTCTTTAAATAAAAAAAAATTGTATATACATACAAATAATCAAATGTATACACAGTGCCGGATTAGGTCAGTGTAAGACCTTTAGTAAATTCTATAAAATCGAACCTATAGTCTGCTTTTTTTAATCCCGGAGACAAATTTGACATTACCAATGTTGCCAGGATTTCGCAATTTTTAAATAGCATTGTGGCACTATCGGAAATTAATATTAATTATAAATTTTTATAGGTTACTCAGAAATTATTTGTGGGTGTTAATTTAAAAAGCAATATTACAAAATTAGTACAGTATAGGTATTGATAAATATATGGTTGTCGTATCAAAACATATTTTTTCATTATCTGCTTCTTCCTTATCCCATTTATTTGTGGTCGGCGTAATATGTTTTTCTTTTCCATTCATCCCTGTTCGCAGTCATCTCGTTATTTACTTCCTATCTTACCATATCATCTTTCTCACAGTCCATCCATCTCTTTTTCGGCCTTCCTCTGCCCTTAGAACCATCCACATTCATATGTAATCAAATATATTTTTAAAATATAATCAAATTATATTTTTACGTTTCGTTTTAGGCCCTCGATGGACGGGCCTGTAGCGCTGCTCCTGTACTCTAGTTACTAGACTGCTCCGGCACTGAGTACTTATATTTTTTTGACATCCTTCCGATCGCATTCTTATTTTAATGACAGTCAGCTCGTGACCACAGCTAGTGCTACCTAGTCGAAACGTCGAGAGGTAAATACCATTATTTACCATAACATTATTAGTGTTAAAACCCGTTTACTATATTAACAATTCTTCTGTTCTTGGAACAAAATAACTGAACCATATAAATGATATTGTCTTGTATTTGAGCGGAGGTGCGATGCCTTAAAAATAATATATATATATATTTAATTGCTACATAATTTTTTCAAACAATCATCAGTCCCTATATTCCACATTTAACTCGCGTCCATATGTAAATGGTACGAAAACAAACCATAATATATTTTAATTAATATAGGCACTGATTTCTAATTTAATAACATTAAAAAATATTTACAATACTTAAATTGAAACATTAAAAGCTAGAGCCAATTTTATTATTGTATTGGATCATTGCGTTTTATTTGTCGAAGAAAATACATTAGGCGAGTACTCGAGTTAATTCCACATTTTGCCAGACAAAAGAGGAACTTAATACTTGCGAAATAGACCAGTTTTTAGTATGACGTACTAAAATTTGCGCTTGTTCAAATGTCCAAAACTATTTCCACATTTTGCCAGACAAAAAAGGAATTTAATACTTGTGGAATAGATCACTTTATTGTACATACATAATCACTATTAGACGCTTTTATAACTGAGTCGTCGCATTTTCATTTCTATGGGACGTATATATGCGCTTGGTAAAGAAATGAGTACCGTAACTATACGGCCAGTAAGCTGATATTTAATTAAATGCACTCGGTAACAAATCTAGATTCCGTACAGAAACTTAAACGCGCCGAGACGTTCAGAAAAGCACCTAAAGGTAATTCAAATAAAGATCAAATTATTGCAAAGTTTTTGCCTCGTTCTTATTGCAAAAGTGCATGTAAGTACATTTTCTCGTTAATTAATAGGCGAGATATGGGATAGCAATGACGGCGACTTTATAGAAAGACTAAATATGTAATAAATAGAATCAATCTGTTTATAATATAAACAATTAGAACAAACATTTTTGAATAAACATATTGTTTTATTTTCTCATGAACAGTCACTGAAAAACTGACAACCTGAAAATCATGCGGATGAAAATAATTGTACATTTTTTTTAATAAAATTAATACCCAAAGGTAATAAATTTTCAATTATCTATTAAATAATCAAATACAGTCGTATGATATCGTCTCTATTTTCAATAAACAACATTGTAAACATAATTTTAAATCACGAAATGCTTTTGAACTGAAATTGTTGAGCGGAGTGCGAAGAGCGGAGCAATCTTAGATATCAGACTTGCACTGTTTGTAACGATACTCCTCCGAAACGGCTTGACTGATCGAGACTAAAATTTCATCGAAGGTCGACCTTGGGTCTCCATCGTTTACGACTCAAAATAATCCGATCGGGCAAAGTCGACTTTTTAAGAACAAACGCGCTTCGCTCAACATGTTGCCTGGTGTATCACAAACCTAGTTAGTTTCATATATGCATGCAACCTCTTTTGTGATTTCATATAAAATCATGTACTGTTAAGTAACTTAATTTTTGTAAGTAATTGTTAATTTTTGTACCAAAAATGTAGCTACTTTAAAACTTTTACGTTTAGTACACATTATTAGTATAGTTAATGAGGTCTTAATACGAATAATTTTATGGTGAATAAGGTATTTACCTCTCGACAGTTCGACTAGGTTGTACTACTTATGGTCACAATAACAGGCCAGCGATATTGATGTCTAGTAAATTTAGGCTTGTGTAATCTAGTCGAAACGTTGAGAGGTAAATAAATACCTTATTTACCATAATGTTATTCCTGTTATTACCCCATTAACATATATTAATAATTTATTGTAATTATCGGTAAAATGTTTTCATATTTACGATGGAGGTATTTCACTAAAAAAATTTAATCTGTTCAGCTTTTGGTCCTTCGAGCCGGATGTAGATAAATTTAGTACATTACTTGGCGCATAAATAATTTTATTTCTGTTCAGAACCATATCTTTCTACTAATCAATTTGATTCAATTTCAGTCAACAATACTAGTGCCAAGTAACGCCTCACAGTTAAGACTGACGTTTTAAAGAGAGTTAAATATTTATCACGAGTATATCCTCCATTTTCTAATAGAATTTGAGGAAATGGTAAATATTACCTCTTAATACCTTGTTTCAAATTATACATGCTATATATATTAGAACTGTTTAGAAATGCTAACGAACCATATAAACCTTATTTGAAAACATGCACAATATTTCAACTAGTGCAACAATACTAGAGATAACTATTAAAAAAAATACACTCGTTATAACATAATTTTCTGTATGTGTAAGATATTTTAAAACTATTCAAGTTCAACTATTTTTTTGATATACTTAAAAGGGTTTTAACACAAATAATTTTATGGTAAATAACATAAAAGGATTTACCTCTGACCGACTCTAGCTTAAGTCACCTCATGACCACGGCTAGTGCAACCTAATCGAAACGTCGAGAGGTGAACACCTTTATTTAGCGTTATAATAATAAATTACCTTTATTTACCATAAAATTATTCGTCTTAAAACCCGTTTAACTATATTAATAATGTGTTCTATACTTGATGGTTTAAAAATAAGTATTCAAGTATTCTTTGAAATTGTCTATTACAAAATCAAATAGTTTCTACTTAGATTAACAGTACTAAACCTTTTTTAACGGTTGTTTACCGGGAGCTCTTTAATCATATTATCATTGTAAATATACCTTTTATAATGTATACTTTAGATTAATTTCTAAGTATATAGCATTTTTTTTATTAGAGATTTTGGCTTACTGTCAGGTGCGAAGACCTGTAGCACTGCGACCTGTATAGATCCATTGCGCTCGCCCTTTTTCAGTATAGCACTAAGAAAACATTTGTTTCACAATAATATTCTCAGATAATGTCATATTGGTGAGGCGTTACTTAGACAGTATTATTGTAAATATAATTTCTTTTAACCCAAATAATTACTTCGTAAAATGCACTTTAACACAATGTTATAAAATTTAATATCTATACAGTGGACAGAAAGTCTCGGGTGTACATACATAGTAAGTCACACTGGTCGGTACGCTACTGGAAGTCTGCGAGCGACTGCCGCCAGGTGGCGTGGAAGGGTATGCGCAGGAGTTTCAGTTTGGTGGTCGGCAGCTGCGCCGACAACAGCCGCTGGAGCGTCGGCAGCGGGAGAATCTCCACCTAGGTGCAATTAATATTTGTTTTAATTGAGGCAACTTAATATTGTTTATATTACGATATGTATATTATGTATATGTTTATATCCTGTTCTAAAAATACTGGATATTTTCAAAATAGTTGCAAACTCTTTGCAGATTTTTATATATGTTTATTTTTCTACCAATATTAAATGTATTTTTTCATAGAATTGATATATTTTTTATACAAATAAAAACATGTGGCTACTTAAATTACGAATATATAAAAAAAAAAAGTGAATTGAAAATAAGAACTGGATGAAAAAGGACGCTCCGTAATTTTAACAATACACAAGAAAAATTTAATTAATTGATTTAATTAATATAATAATTAATAATATAATAATTTAATTAATATAATATCATTGTTTTTATAAAAATATACACTCTTGAGTGCGTGGCCAGTAAACAGTACTACACAACGGAACATTCCTGAGCAAAGGTGAGTAAGTTTGCTGTTACATTGCTTACTTGCTCTGAACACCCGTGTGGGAGACGTTCTTCCAGAGCATTCGTTATTTTCTTGTACAGTCCACTATCTATTTTTATTTATTCTATATACAGATTCGTAATCCAACAGTATATATATATATGTTACTCTATTATTATAAAATAAATAACGGGTTTTGAACCTGCGGCGGTCCGGCGACGTGGTGGTGTTCCTCGGGCAGCTTGCAGCCGGGCACCGGCTTGAGCACGGGGATGCACTCTCCGATGTCCTTCTTCTTGGTGTCGGCGCCCTGCTCGCACTGGTCTATGAACAGCTCGGTGACGCGCAGCAGCTCGATGGTCACCCCCCACATCAGGTGCGTCAGCGTGTCCTTCAGCCGGAGGACCCCGCTCAGCACCTGCCCAAACATAATAGAATAAATATCTATGCGCTGAAGGGTATGGTTGGGGTCGTCGTCTTCTCCGGCGAGGACGGTGTCGTGTGTCCCTTCAATAATTTCAAACGTGTGAATTACCTGTTTGTTGGTGGTGGCGGATTGTGACACGTATGTGGGTATGATGAGGAGACGCTGGATGTTCTTGCACTCAGCTAATGCGTCGTCGAAGCCGACCTGTGAAATATATAACAAAATTGATATTAGACAGAAATGTATGATGTATATTTAAAGACTTGGTTAAATTATTATGTTATTGTATGTTCAATTAATGTGCTCAATTAGGGACCATCCATAAATATTTCTTGACCTTGTTCTTATACTTGTCACACTGGCGAGACTGCCTCTCCCTAATTTAACTTCGCATACTTTGCAATTTATTTAATATTATAGGAATATTTTATGTATTTCAGAGTTCGCCGCTAGACCCGTCAGGGACAAGAATTGAAGGATATTCTTAGGAGAGATTTTAACTCCTCAGGGTAGAGCATAAACTTTCCAAAAGAGGTATTTCGTTTATACATGAGTGGGCTACAACCACATAAGATGTGTAGTGGCGTTTCTTCCCCAGCTTGGCAAAATCGGCATGTACCTTAATTATCAATTACAATCGTACATATGATTTGTAACGTATCGGGCATGCACCTTCACGTCGATGTTGACAAGCTGTAGCACGGAGCGCGCGCAGTTCAAAACACTCGTATATCGAGGCAGCACTAGTTTTATTCAACATTGTATGTATGTCTGTATGTGCCTGACGCGCAGTTTAAAACACATTGTATCTATATATGTGTGTATGTGACATATACATACCTTGACGTCGACGTTAACGAGCTTGAGCGCTGAGAGGTGCAGCAGATGCGCGAGCGCGTAAGTAAAAACGCTCGTATATCGAGGCAGCATTATTCTTATTTATCATTGTATGTATGTGTGTATGTCACATACGCACCTTGATGTCAACATTGACGAGCAGGCAGGCTCGGAGAGGTGCAGCAGGTGCGCAGTTCAAAACACTCGTACATCTAGGTAGCACTGTACTTATTCATCGTTGTATATATATGTATATGTCACATACATAACGCGCGCAGTTCAAAACACTTTTTATATATGTATGTGTGTATGTCACATATAAATCTCGAGCGCAGTTTAAAACACGTCGTATGTGTATGTGTGTACGTGACATACCTCGACGTCGAGCTCTAGAACAGAGCGCGCGTAGTTCAAAACACTTGCATCTCAAGATATCACAGTACTTATTCCTCGTATGTATGTGTGTATGTAGCTGACGTGGTATGTGTATGTGTGTATGTGTGTATGTGTGTACGTGTGTAGGTGGCATACCTTGACGTCGACGTTGACGAGCTCGAGCGCGGAGAGGTGCGGCAGGTGCGCGAGCGCGCGCAGTATGGCGGGCGCGGCGCAGGCGGCGGTGCCGCGCTCGAGCCGCAGCCGCCGGAGCCGCGCGAGCTGCCGCAGCGCCGCCGCGAACTCCGCGCGGAACGAGCACTCGCCCAGCTCCAGCACCTCCAGCGCGCCCAGCTGACCCACCACGTCCACCAGGCACCAGCCCAGCTCCTGCGGCCGAAGCGATCGTTATTTCACTGACCGATGGTCCTTCGAGCCGGATTTCATTAAGAATATATATTTAAATAAAAAAGACATATTGGTCCTTCGAGCCGGATTTCATTAAAAATACATTTTAAGGAAAAAGACATATTAGTACTTCATGCAGGATTGAATATAGTAAGTTATGGGTTGAATCCAAGAACCCAACTCCTGCCGAGAACACAACCGTTACATATCCGAACTGTGGTCCTTCGAGCCGGATATGAATACAGTAAATTATGATACATTACATAGTAAAGTATACATTAAAAAGATATTCATTCAAGAAAGACACTTTAAGAATCTTTAATAGCGTATAACGATTACATCTCCAAATATTGGTCCTTTGAGCCGGATTACATCTAGTAAGGTATACATCGAAATAACATAACTTTGGACAAATAAATTGAAGAAATGATATTGTTCAATTGTACATTAGTTTCCACCATATGATGTAAATTAAAAGTAAACGTGTAACGAAATCTTTCCTCAGTACAAAAAACTAAAGACGATGTTTCATTGTTGATCATAGGACTTACCTCAAATTGTTTTACTCCTACGAAATTATGGCTCACTTTTCCGTGTCTTAGCGTCCATAGTGCTGTTCGTGTAGTATATATAGCATAATTAGCACTTACTATTAGTTGGGCCATCAACTTGTTTGCAATTCAACAATATAAAGACCTCTATGAGCAATGAGACGAGCCGGCGAGGCTCTCGAGGCGCAGCTCGTGCAGGCGCGGCAGGCGAGTGGAGGCGGGTGTACCTTGATGGAGGTGAGCGAGAGGTGTCGCAGGTGGTGGAGGCGCGCGAGCGGGCGCAGGTCGGAGGCGAGCGCGAGGCCGGCGAGGCTCTTGAGGCGCAGCTCGTGCAGGCGCGGCAGGCGAGTGGAGGCGGGTGTACCTTGATGGAGGTGAGCGAGAGGTGTCGCAGGTGGTGGAGGCGCGCGAGCGGGCGCAGGTCGGAGGCGAGCGCGAGGCCGGCGAGGCTCTTGAGGCGCAGCTCGTGCAGGCGCGGCAGGCGAGTGGAGGCGGGTGTACCTTGATGGAGGTGAGCGAGAGGTGTCGCAGGTGGTGGAGGCGCGCGAGCGGGCGCAGGTCGGAGGCGAGCGCGAGGCCGAGGCCGGCGAGGCTCTTGAGGCGCAGCTCGTGCAGGCGCGGCAGGCGAGTGGAGGCGGGTGTACCTTGATGGAGGTGAGCGAGAGGTGTCGCAGGTGGTGGAGGCGCGCGAGCGGGCGCAGGTCGGAGGCGAGCGCGAGGCCGGCGAGGCTCTTGAGGCGCAGCTCGTGCAGGCGCGGCAGGCGAGTGGAGGCGGGTGTACCTTGATGGAGGTGAGCGAGAGGTGTCGCAGGTGGTGGAGGCGCGCGAGCGGGCGCAGGTCGGAGGCGAGCGCGAGGCCGGCGAGGCTCTTGAGGCGCAGCTCGTGCAGGCGCGGCAGGCGAGTGGAGGCGGGTGTACCTTGATGGAGGTGAGCGAGAGGTGTCGCAGGTGGTGGAGGCGCGCGAGCGGGCGCAGGTCGGAGGCGAGCGCGAGGCCGGCGAGGCTCTTGAGGCGCAGCTCGTGCAGGCGCGGCAGGCGAGTGGAGGCGGGTGTACCTTGATGGAGGTGAGCGAGAGGTGTCGCAGGTGGTGGAGGCGCGCGAGCGGGCGCAGGTCGGAGGCGAGCGCGAGGCCGGCGAGGCTCTTGAGGCGCAGCTCGTGCAGGCGCGGCAGGCGAGTGGAGGCGGGTGTACCTTGATGGAGGTGAGCGAGAGGTGTCGCAGGTGGTGGAGGCGCGCGAGCGGGCGCAGGTCGGAGGCGAGCGCGAGGCCGGCGAGGCTCTTGAGGCGCAGCTCGTGCAGGCGCGGCAGGCGAGTGGAGGCGGGTGTACCTTGATGGAGGTGAGCGAGAGGTGTCGCAGGTGGTGGAGGCGCGCGAGCGGGCGCAGGTCGGAGGCGAGCGCGAGGCCGGCGAGGCTCTTGAGGCGCAGCTCGTGCAGGCGCGGCAGGCGAGTGGAGGCGGGTGTACCTTGATGGAGGTGAGCGAGAGGTGTCGCAGGTGGTGGAGGCGCGCGAGCGGGCGCAGGTCGGAGGCGAGCGCGAGGCCGGCGAGGCTCTTGAGGCGCAGCTCGTGCAGGCGCGGCAGGCGAGTGGAGGCGGGTGTACCTTGATGGAGGTGAGCGAGAGGTGTCGCAGGTGGTGGAGGCGCGCGAGCGGGCGCAGGTCGGAGGCGAGCGCGAGGCCGGCGAGGCTCTTGAGGCGCAGCTCGTGCAGGCGCGGCAGGCGAGTGGAGGCGGGTGTACCTTGATGGAGGTGAGCGAGAGGTGTCGCAGGTGGTGGAGGCGCGCGAGCGGGCGCAGGTCGGAGGCGAGCGCGAGGCCGGCGAGGCTCTTGAGGCGCAGCTCGTGCAGGCGCGGCAGGCGAGTGGAGGCGGGTGTACCTTGATGGAGGTGAGCGAGAGGTGTCGCAGGTGGTGGAGGCGCGCGAGCGGGCGCAGGTCGGAGGCGAGCGCGAGGCCGGCGAGGCTCTTGAGGCGCAGCTCGTGCAGGCGCGGCAGGCGAGTGGAGGCGGGTGTACCTTGATGGAGGTGAGCGAGAGGTGTCGCAGGTGGTGGAGGCGCGCGAGCGGGCGCAGGTCGGAGGCGAGCGCGAGGCCGGCGAGGCTCTTGAGGCGCAGCTCGTGCAGGCGCGGCAGGCGAGTGGAGGCGGGTGTACCTTGATGGAGGTGAGCGAGAGGTGTCGCAGGTGGTGGAGGCGCGCGAGCGGGCGCAGGTCGGAGGCGAGCGCGAGGCCGGCGAGGCTCTTGAGGCGCAGCTCGTGCAGGCGCGGCAGGCGAGTGGAGGCGGGTGTACCTTGATGGAGGTGAGCGAGAGGTGTCGCAGGTGGTGGAGGCGCGCGAGCGGGCGCAGGTCGGAGGCGAGCGCGAGGCCGGCGAGGCTCTTGAGGCGCAGCTCGTGCAGGCGCGGCAGGCGAGTGGAGGCGGGTGTACCTTGATGGAGGTGAGCGAGAGGTGTCGCAGGTGGTGGAGGCGCGCGAGCGGGCGCAGGTCGGAGGCGAGCGCGAGGCCGGCGAGGCTCTTGAGGCGCAGCTCGTGCAGGCGCGGCAGGCGAGTGGAGGCGGGTGTACCTTGATGGAGGTGAGCGAGAGGTGTCGCAGGTGGTGGAGGCGCGCGAGCGGGCGCAGGTCGGAGGCGAGCGCGAGGCCGGCGAGGCTCTTGAGGCGCAGCTCGTGCAGGCGCGGCAGGCGAGTGGAGGCGGGTGTACCTTGATGGAGGTGAGCGAGAGGTGTCGCAGGTGGTGGAGGCGCGCGAGCGGGCGCAGGTCGGAGGCGAGCGCGAGGCCGGCGAGGCTCTTGAGGCGCAGCTCGTGCAGGCGCGGCAGGCGAGTGGAGGCGGGTGTACCTTGATGGAGGTGAGCGAGAGGTGTCGCAGGTGGTGGAGGCGCGCGAGCGGGCGCAGGTCGGAGGCGAGCGCGAGGCCGGCGAGGCTCTTGAGGCGCAGCTCGTGCAGGCGCGGCAGGCGCGCGAGCGGCGCGGGGTCGAGTCTCGCGTCCCTGATGGCGAGCGCGCACAGCGCCCGCAGCCCGCTCACCGCGCACGCCGCCTCCACCGCCGCCGCCGGGCACCGGCACATCTCTATCCTGACACCGCACCGCACCATATCAATATAACGCTCGTAATACCTGCCTTTACACGTACGTTCTTTGACGCGTATATAGACTTTCACTAAGGAAAAAATGTGAATTTAAATGTAGCCAAAGAGAACGAGAAAGATCAGGCGCGTCTCTATAGCTCGCGCATGCTCGGGTCCTTCAATCGTACGTGATTTAGCGCCTTTTTGTAATATTAATTATCATTGCAAAACGCTGGACAACTGACTATGGAGCAAAGACATAATTATAGAGTAATTTAAGATTCCATAAACATGACTCTGGAAAAATAAAGTGAATCCTGATCGTGAAAGAATATATCATGTAAACGCAGATAATAAAGGAGCAAGGGGTTTGTTAGTAACGTAGAGTAATAACCCCATTACTAGATATGTACCATGTCAGGTTCTCCACGCCATTTCCTCTGAAAACCATCCTGTTACATTCCTAGAAAATTTTCCACGATGGGCAAACTGACCTGACCTCATACTCATCCTGACTTGATATCATCCTCGACAGGTGGCGTTCACACATTACTACTTAAAAATATAATATTACAACTTATTTAAACGATAATGTATAATAAAAATTGTATAATTTATAACATATCAACATTTAAAGAGCATGATAGAAGATCGTGGAAACTGGCAAGAGATCCACCGACAACAGTGGTTCTTAAATTATGAATTAATTAATACATTTTTAACACAAACTGCCATAATCTGTCATCAATCTGCCAGAAAAAAGATTCAAATGTTTTATAAAACACTTTCCTTTTAAAAGTGTTTATTATACAATTATCTGATTGCATAAAGATTGAGTGCGTAGCGGTTTCTATGTTGATTGTGGCATACCTAATCCTTGGCAATGTAAATTTACTTAGAACAACATTTATTTAAACGAGCTACATGCAAACATCTTGCTCATTGTTGGGATGAGTCTGCGTTCTGAATGGTATAAAAATGTAACTATTTAAAAGTGTTTATATTAAATTTATTTGAATGATAAATATATATATTCTAAATAACATTGTAAACAGCATACCAAAATTGTATAACACACAGGTACATACCTCTCTAATGTGTCTACTTTGGATATGTGTTGCGCGAATTGTTCCCAGAAGACGGTGTCGTTCTGCGGCAGTAGCATCTTGCGTAAATCCAACCGCTTTGTGCCGTGTCGTTTCAGTGCGTCACACAACCCTCCCCAGTCGCTCACCTGCAGGAAATATGGTCAAATTGTATTAATAATAATAATAATAATAATACGCTTTCTTCTACGAGTATTGTACTCAAACCGAAAAACAGGTGTAAATGTTTCAAATAATTTTACCACCTATAGCGAGGTAGTGGTGTACCTGCGATACCGATTTGTTTAATCGGAAGCTTTTATTTTAACATATTAGTGTTAAAGATTTAAACGAAATTTCCACAACCGTATTTTAAAATTTACGTACTGGTGTTTTCATTACTGTTATACTATTATAAAGTTTCATTAAAATCCATCCACTAAGTTCCAGTCGTTCGTGTACTGAAATATTTAATGATTTTCTGTATCTGGTACAATATAGAGTATAAATAAATATAAAGTAAATTCTCTGAAGTGTATGATGCGCTTTTAATAGGAATGTTAGTTTATGAGATTCTCTCAACTGTAACTATATAAAGTTGGACAGTCTGTGTTTTATACACTTTGGCGAGTGCCGGACCTGCATAATTTGATCTTGTCCCTTTTTTTACAATCGAACTACACGACGAACACTAGGACTTCATCCGTACGTAGTAGAATTACACAAATTCGCACTGAGCGGTTCACGTCCTTAATACGCACTGCCAAAGAGTAGAACACACTTCCAGCTTTTGTGTTCCCGGAGAAATACCAAACCGGATTCTTCAAGTCAATAGTGAATAAATTCCTGGGTAACCGCGCTACATTCTAGATCTCGCCATCATTTACCATCAGATGAGGTAAGATTAAGCGCAAACCCATTTATAATAAATATATATATATATATATTATTATTATACAAAGCATATTAGTACTTACGTGTGAATTTTTCATCCTTATATGTCTCCAGAGACACGGCGTTGACGCTAGTTGCCTCCATAGCTTGCAAACTCGCGCGCAGTGAGCCAAGTCACGCATGCCCAAATATTGGAATATCTGAGAACACAAATATTGAATTTATTGTAATATAGACTTAAAATATGGTAGTTTATATAATAGTAGGTAGTTGTAACAGTGTCATAACAATAAATATCGCGTTCCGAGCAAGAGGTGTTTCAATTATTACAGTTATGTTTTGTTGTAATTTGAATGACAGGTTATGGTCATAGTAATAAGTGTATAATAGTGGTGGTCACAGTGGTAAGTGGTACCCGTCGCCTATATACATGAACAACAGCATGGAAAGCACATGATCATGAGGCACACAAAGGTCAATCGAAACCATTGTGGCCCGGCACCGAGTGGACCCAACTTCTTGTCACGTGCCGACACCGACCTAGATTTTGAAGTACAAAAATTATAAAAAGCTATTTACGCCTTAGGGAGTAATCTCACTTTAAAAAGCTTATTATATTTACACAGAGAGAAAACAAAACTTCCTATAAGTATAAGGAGAAACTATTTGTATTTAACTAAAATAAAATCTTAATTAAAATTACCAACACGTTAAATCTTATTGATCCAAAAAAATTCTGTTGTCTACTAATGGTTATCCATATTAACATCAATGTTTGAGGTCAATGATCCTAAATAGCTCTACCTACTTTAGGGTTGCTAAGCCCAAATTTAAAAAACCAGCATTGCAAGTTCAAATTCAAATTTAAAATATCTTTATTCATGTAGGTCTATTACAGAATCTTATGATATGTCAAATCTACCGTCATTTCGGAATGATTTCGAGATGAGAAGAACTGACAAGAAATTCAGTTCGTATTTTTTTTAAGTAAATGTACATATTTACAATAATACAAAAAACGAGGACTACCCAGTTTAAAAACAGAACGCAGTAATAGTGTTGCAATAGGTATATCAATATGTAGTAAAATTCAAGTAATTAATATAATCAGATTTTTAATAAAAAGTATTTGATTATTATTATAGATATGATGTTATGATACATAATTATACTGTTGAAAATCAGTAATTAAGAGGCGTGCATATTTTAAAAACCCCAGCACGTTGCCAAATAACAATACAAGACTTCCCAGGACACTTCAAAAACCGAACGTGTCCTGGGAAAACAGGACGGTTGACAACCCTAACCCACTTCGATCAGTGATTATATTATTAGAGACATAACCGTACCTGTACGACAACATTGTAGTTCTTCTCCTGCGCCTTGTGATAGAAGGCAGTGAAGTAGTCAGTGTCGTCCGCGCGGGGGCGGCCCCGGCCGCGGCGCGGGGAGGCGGCGGGCGGCGACGCTGCGCCGTTTGCGATGCGACCACGACGCTTATCCTCGCTGTTAAACGTAAAGTACATCTATTGGGGTTTGTTTTTATTGAAACAATAAAAAAAACATTTCTATACACTTATCTGAGCCGGTAGCAGCGTTGCTAATGTTGATTTTAGTATTGCCGCTAAATAGGAATCAGTTCTCCATACCACATTTACCAAACACACTCATCAGTCACTATCATTACGGAACTGTGAGCTTAAACCGCACCAATATACATATATAACATCTGACAGGAATACGACAATTTTTATTTTTTTTATTAATTATAATACTATTGCAGGGGTCAGTGTAACAGTAAACAAGTACACAACACTATATTTTGGGTAGGCTAAGGATCAAAACAGTTCGCATTTTTGTTCAAAATAACAAAGTTACAACACTATATATTTATGACAATAACAAAACGTTTTTTTTGTCGGTATTGTCATGTATATACAATAAGCTTAACGCTGTTTCAGTTTCAACCCTGATTCGGAACATAACGGAAAGACGTGGAGGAAATATTATAAGAAACAGCAGCTAATAATGAGCAAGAAAAAAACAAAAATATCGATAGTAGTGATACCGCAGCAAAGAGGGAAAGATAGTCTCGTTTAGCGCTGGAACTTATTGGAACGTATCCCCCGCGTTAAAAGCGGTTTTACTGTATATCTATTGACACCACTTCACAATTCCTTTCAGTCTTTCAAAGATTGACTGGAATAACCTGTATATGGAAGTCCGCCATTGTACAGCTTATTTGTTAATATCGTTGTATCCTGTTATTTTAAATGAATTTACTGTACAATAAAGTGTTGCAGTCAAATATTTTTTATTTGCCAGACTATGGACCTTTCATAAGTTGGCAATATATATAAAATCTTGGGAATATAACAAAGATACGTAAATGTTAGCTACCCCTGCAGTATATAATAAATTTAAATAGTATATGATATAGAAAACTCCATCGTACCGGAATGCTATAAAAAGCACATGTGAATATTATATACAAAATACAAAGTAACATATATAAAAAAAAATACCTTATCCATACGTTCCCTTAAAATATACCATAATGTAAAACACCGGTATGAAAAAAATGGATTTTCATTTTATTATGAAAACTTGTGGTTTGATACATTTTCTCTATATGACTAACATAATTTTAAACTAAATAATAACATCTTTATACAGTAAAACCTAAAACTAGATTAAAAAAATAATTACACTGTTGGGTTAAAACATGTGTTATATAAAATTCTTTATATATAAAAACTGCGGGTCACGTTGTTTGACCGCGATGGACTCCTAAACTACTGAACCGATTGCAAATTTGATTTGCACATTGTGTGCAATTTAATCCAACTTGAAAGATAGGATAGCTTACATCTCAATTTATAGTCGTAATATTATTTTATTTCAAATTATTTTTATATATAAAGAAACTGTTAGCCACAGCAACGCGTGGCTGGGTCTGTTAGTATATATAACACATTTACAGTTTAATAAAAATAAGAAAACAATGACTTGTTTATACACAAAATGGCGAATATATATTACGAAAGGAATAAATATAAATTTTCTTAAAAATAATTTTGTTTTCGAATATTTTACTATTGCACTCCACATTTGGAATGCAGCATTCTTCACTGAACAAGGGACTGAATAAAAAGAACTTAGACCAATACATCAGCATGATCTTAGCACTATCGTGACCATTCCCTTATTACCTGCCTTGATACAGACATTCTTTCACTGAGGAAGGAATGTGCATGTAAATGTACACAAAGACAACGAGCAAAATTTTGCAATAATTAATTAACATTGCAAAATAGCGAACGTCGTTTTTTGCACTACAATGATGTCAATATATGTGTTTCTGTCATCTATAGGCTATGGTAACCGTTTACCATGACAAGAATACAGTCCATCTGATGGTAAACGGTTACCGTAAACTATGGAGGCCTGAAACACACCGTCTGAAATTTAACTTTATTCTTCTAAAATAAAAGTAGCCTAAGGTACCAAAAAAGGTCCCGTCAAAATCGGTCCAGCTATTTCAGAGATTAGCCGGAATAAAGACTGACAGATTGACAAAAATTGTAAAAAATGTTATTTCGGTGCATATATCGAATCTATATTCGTATGCACGTAGTAAAAAACGGTAATTTCAATATTACAAACAGACACTCCAATTTTATTTATATATGTATAAATTATAATTCTTTTATACACTTCAAATCCGTCTTGTCAATAGTTTCCCAATATATTTGCGTATACCAAGTCCTTTTCTATAGTTTTCATTTTACCTATACACATATAAAATATTACAACATAAATAATATTAACTCGCGTTGCAGGTAGATCTCAAATTGACCAGTTCGCAGAATCCAGGACGCATTCACGACATACGCAGATCACTAATATCATAATTTTTTTCACAAATTCACAAAAAAAATCAAAACACATGTATTTTTATTACTTAATGGATTAATATAATTTGTTTAATTCCGCTACAATTGGCAAGTATGAGACCACAAATATTCAGTGTGGAAACCTAACCACCGCTGCTGGAAGTGTTACCTCTCCATTGGTGATCAAATTCTGACCGTTATTGTTATCTACAACTAAAATACGTATATCTTTATTAGACTTCACTAATAAACAATGGTAAATAAGTTAATAAAAAATATAAGGACAACTGTACATTGGCCATCTTGTTCATAATTTTTGGTATCAAACTCCAATGTGATGTATTTATTCCATAGAATATACAATTTACAATATTAAAATGATTACCAGTTGATGAAAAACAAATTCGAAGCTACACAAAATGAATGAAAATCATTGAACGACATCTAATCAAATAAAAAATCCTTTATTCGAGTGGGACGATTAGGCGCTTATGAACGTAAAGTTTTTTTTTATTAATATATTTTTCCCTACCGTCAAAATAGAAATTTATATTTTATATGGCATTTAATTATATTTGTAAAAATATATATTCACATACATAATCTTATTCTATATCTTTACATATATCTTGTTTCTTATTAATCTGGTAGTAGGACTGACTTCTAACATTGTAAAGAATCGATTAAGGAGGGATATTATACAATATTGTTGTCCACGATCTCGGTGGTCTAGCGGTCTAGCTGTGGCGGTGTCGCTTTACGTCCGATGGTCGCGGGTTCGACTCCTCACACGGTACCAACATTTGTATACATGAGTATGATTGTTTGTATCGGTCTGGGTGTTTTCTATGTAAATTATGTATGTATTTGCGAAAATAAAAAAATTATCTATGTATTTGTATCAGTAATCTAGTACCCATAACACAAGCTTTAGCTAGCTTAACTTGAGTCTAGATGGCGCTGTGTGAATTGTCCCGAGATTATTATTATTATTATATAGTACGTAAAATTTTACATATACCAGAAATTATACGCTCAAAGAAATAATCATAGCACAAATATTTGTTCTCTGATGGGCTGAACAGAGCAGATGTGGCTATTTTTTGGGCTATTGTAAGGTGCTAAAACATGTAAACATATATACTGCGACCCGTATATAGATCCATTGTGCTCGACCTTTATCAAAGTCCGCTACGTAGAACTGTCAGGGGCAAGAATTGAAGGATATTCTTAGGAGCGATGGTTTTTATCTCCTCAGGATATAGTTTACTTTCTAAAGGAGATATTTCGTTTATGCATGAGTGGGCTACAACCACAGAATGTGTAGTGGCGTTTCCTCTTCAGCTTGGCAAAATATGCAAAGCTAAAAGCTCAGGCCTAAGTTTGCCGAGTGTTGATTCAATTTGCAGTGTCTAGTGAGGGCCCTGAGTGTGGGCAGTAAGTCATCATGGCTGATAGAAATAGAAATAATCCTTATTCAAATAGCCTTTTTTTGAATGGTCATATACTTTTTTTTTCTACCGCTCAATCGGAACGCATACTCAAAAAGATTAGTAAATAACTTGCGTGTTCCTCCTTTAAAATAAATTACATTTTTAAGACTGTGTGTGACTAAACGCAGAGCTAACTGGATTGGAGACTGGGATATCCAAACTGATGAACAGTACATGGATGAGATTGTACGGACTTGCCCAAATGACAACGATAAGAAAATCACGGAGCAAAGGGAGTTTTTTTTGTTATAATGTTTAGCGGTGGGGAGATCTGTTATAAAGATGGGATAACGTGTTAGAAAGATGGAAAGCAATGAATTAATAATATTTTGAATTAATGTCAAAATATATATAAAATGTCTAAAACCTTTCCAGCCAATATTATCAACTAGATCAATTCCGCTATTGAATGGCAAAGGCACAGAGACAACGAGCCGCCTGTGCTGTCATAAATGGCTGCCACAGAATATGCTAAGTGTCGGACATAGACCGACCAGAACTTTTTAAACGAAATTCTTATTATATATACAAATACATATATATATGGATCTGTATTCTTTTAAACAATTTTTTATGACAATACAATGAATCAAGGCGTTTATAGACAATGGAGGTAATATTTTTTTTAATATTAAGGTTTAAGAACGAGTATTTCGATGTGGGAAAGCGCCTTATTAACAACTTGGCCTGTTGGTAAACACATACTGCATTCAGGGGCACAATTATAATAATATAATTATGCCTCTGAATTCGGTATGTGCGTCAAACAATCATAATATGTCTATACAATATGCTATATAATTGTATGTGCAGTGTTGTCGTTTGTTGGCCGCGGGTTATCTGAAAATAAAAACAAATTATATTACCAATATTACTATAAACTTATCTTAATAATATTATAAACGTGAAAGTTTGTGAGTCGTTTGTTACTCTTTCACGCAAAAACTACTGAAAGGATTTTGATGAAACTTTACAATAATATAGCTTATACATTACTTATGCGGTCACAGCTAGTAATAATATAAAAGCGAAAGTAACTCTGTCTGTCTGACTGTCTGTTTAGGCGTAAGAGACACGTCACGCCTAAGCTACTGAACCGATTTAAATTAAATTTTGG